AGAAATATTTACAGAAATTTAAAATATATGAATTGCCAAGCACCTTCATTAACATCTGTCTTTTAGTTGCCAAAAGCTGTTGATGAGGACTTTATGCTAAAATGCATCCTATAATTACCATAGGTTCCAATAAATATCTAAATATGAATTTTTAAGTTATATTGGAGTACCAACTAACACCGCAAAATTCTGAGCAATAAATATTTTATCTGGATAATTTGTCAGCACTTTGTTTTATTTACAAAATATATTACTAGTAGAAATTTTATTTTATAGTGTAATTCAAACTGAATTATATTTTATTTACATCTACTTTCTATTAAAAATTTGTTTCTTATGAAACAAGAAACAATTCTTATTTNCATATGCAAGATTGTTTGTTAGCTTGATATCACTATTCTCTCTTGTTGTAAATCTAGGTGATAAAATGCTGATTGCATAAGTCCAAAGCAAGCCAATGAATTTATTCAAAATTTAAGATGTCCATAGTGCTCAAAATGGACAATAAATATTTTAAATTTCATCTAGCCCACCAATGGTAAAGTGGATGAAATCACTGAACACTAGTAGTTAGTTGTGGGTTCACACCTTGCCATTGGGCTGGTCATGTGGAGTTTTCCTCAATAACACCTACATAGGGGCCAGTTTTCCTTAAAAGACCTCCTGGGAGGCATTCTCCATTGGCAGATTGTCCATGTGTCACGTTGCTTTAATTGAATAAAAAGAAAACAATAAATTTTATCCAAATCAGTTCATTGATTTTGGCGATTAATAAGGTCAAAGTTAGCACTTTAGCATTACACATGTGGCTGAGCTCTACTATAGTGCACTACTGCACTCTGTGACAGTTAAAAACAGTTGTATAAAATTATTAATACAGTAGAGCCTCAAACTCGGCACTCGATAACCCGGCACTCCGGATAACTCGGCCACACCTTGGCAGGGCAAAAAAAATCCTTAGTTAATTAATTTTCATTATAGACAGCTTTATGCCTCNAATAAATGTTAATACTTGAGAAATTTTAAACTGAAAGTTTGAAAATTTTAAATAAATCTAAAAACTAAATGAGCGCGATAAGCTTATTTGCGCGATTAATATTTTATTTATTTGTTGAACTATTTCCTGTGAAAGAGGATAAAAGCGTTCACGTTGTATTTTTTTTTATTATTCAAATATCTTAAAGAATTTTAACCATAAAAAATTATTTACAGTTGACTTTGTAGAAATTCTCACAGAGAAACCTCTAAACTTTACGAGTGCTTTAAAAAGCAAATATAGTGAATTATTAATATATTCCCCTTGTAAACACGATTGTAAACTGACTTTTTTGCTTATTTATTTATTTATTTATTGTAAACGTAAGGAAGGCGTATCTTAAAGTAATAAATAGTAACATGGTAAAGTGTTCTCTAACATCGTTTATATTCAAGTAGAACCAGCAACTTCATGTCAACCTGTTTCGTTGTCGTGTCGAAACTAATGGAACTGAAAAGAAGATAAACTACGCTCCTTCTATTGTCACTTTTAGCACCCCACGTTTGTAAGAAAGCATTTTCTTATCATTTCTGTCGTCTTTGTACTGAAAAATTTCGAACTGTTATTTTTCTTCTACCTTCCAACAATAAGTAAAGAAATAAATGTCATAATAATGTGATTATTGCATTGATGCCAGTTTAAAATTAAATTTTTTAGATTTAAAATTAGTTTTTGCAGCCCATTTTCTTATCATTTCTGTCGTCTTTGTACTGAAAAATTTCGAACTGTTATTTTTCTTCTACCTTCCAACAATAAGAACAGAAATAAATGTCATAATAATTTTTCAATGTGTACTCAAAAAACATAACAGAGAACTTTTTTTAATATCATTTCTATATAGAGTTGAACTTGTCTGTTTCAAACATGTTTATCTCAAAAACCTCTTTATCTCAAAATGTATTTTTTCCTCTGCATTTTCAGCCTAAATTCAATATATCTTCTGTGTTTATCTCACGCAATTTTCTCCTGAAACCTCTATATCTCAAATTATGGACTGATATGTCAATTACAATGTCAAAGCTCAGTGACTACATTTTAATAGCATAAATTGTAGTTGAGAAACATCTCTGGCATAGTTGCAATTAATGCTGCTTTTCTCTGATTGGCCATGAGTTTGGCTCTCATTTAATTAGTTGAAGAAAGTCTGGTATCAGAAACTTTTGACAAACTATTTCTGTTAAGGTATGTCAAAAAATTTTTATTTATATATAATACAGGTGTGTACTGTACTTGCTATTGTATTAATAAAATACCATACCTCCAACCAAAACCTATTGACCTATTACTAAGTTATTTACTGTATAGGAACCTTTATATATCAAATTTTTTTTTCTTATTCCCATGAGATTTGAGATAGACTGGTTCAACTGTATTTTAAACCATTTGTTTTCAGTTTATCGAAATAAATCTTTATCTGTCTTATTTATTATTTGATGACAATTCAATAACTAGTTTATGGTAATTTTTGAGTTTATTGACTTTATGAAATTTATTTGGCATTATCCTAAATTATGCAAGTGTGTTTTATTTATATAGACTTACTATAACAGTTTAAATTATTTTCATCTATTCATTTAAACATAATGTTTACATTTCTCTCTCTCTCTCTCTCTTTATAATAATTATAATATTTTTATATTATTTAGCAGTTTTATTTTGTTTTATGACTTTAGATGAATTAAATAAATTTTAGCTTCCTAATTGACCTTTATGTTATTTTTAAATGAATTAAAATTAGTATCTTTTATGAATCTCTTATGAATTAAATTTAGTATTTCAAAACAGTTTTTTCTTAAATCTTTACTATTTTTGGTAAGAACTAGAAAAATTATCCTGTGAAAAGTCTATAATAAGTATATAACTATTTAATTTTCCACATCTAACAGGTTGGATTTTTTCATTTCTGAATGGTACTTTTTTAATTCTAATAAGTGCCCTCCAGTTGCCAAGCAGATAAAAACACCAAACTCTGGTAGTTAGTTCATCATGGGTTCCGGCATGGCCAACAGGACAAACTAACTACCAGAGTTTGAATGAAGAGAATGAAGAAAGTCCAGAAAATTCCATATGGCAAACCGGCTGGCCATGTGGAATTTTCTGGACTTTCTTCATTTTAGTAACACCTAAATAAGGTCCAGCATCCCATAAAAGTCTTCCTGGGATGCATTTCCCTCGGCAGAACACTCATGTGTAACCAAATAAACAAAAATAATTTTAACGAGTGATTACTTATTGTGACATCATCACAATGCCAGGCTGCAACTTTTTTCAACAATGTTTTCAAATCTTTTAGTCATGGTCTTGTCCCTGTACATCATACTTTTCCTGTTAGCAATAGAGTTATGTCAGTCATCTATCCAACTCCATTCAGGGGAACATTTTGAATCAAAGTAACATGACTTACAGTTCAATCCAAAAGTTCATATTGATATATAGTTAACTTGGGCCTCCTGTCCATAAGCTTTTCATATCCAGTTATGACTTTCATCTATCTAACTCCTTTCTCAAGATTAAGGAAGGATAGACAGGCAGGGGTTGACAGTGTGAATTTATAGATCTACAGTTTTTTCAAATTGCTGCATGATAATTTTTCTATAATTGCAATATTTATGAGAACATATTTCCCATATAGTTTATATAATCTGTTGCCAAAATTAAATACTTTATCACATAAAAGGAATTATTCTAGCATTTTTTACAAGATTTTTTTTTATTTAAACAAGTTTTTATAGGAAGTCTTTCAGACGTTAAGGTTAGCAACTTTAATCACAATCTGTCTAACATGGATCATTTTTCAAATATTAATTGTAAACCAGTATTAAGTAGTTGTCATTGACCATCATCTCTGCCAGGAGCCAGGTCAATGACTACTTTTGATCAAATTACTTCAACCCCTTTTTGCAACAGTTCCTTCTTTCTATTGGACCAGCAATATAATGGCATTCAAATAGGAAAATTATATAATAAAAGGTTACCAGACAGCACAAAATATGATTTAAGTGCTTTTCAACTGTGCTAAGTTTTTTTTTCTGCAAAATTTGATTCATTGACAGATTACTGTTTGATATTTGGCTGTGAATGGTACAGTTTCTTAAAGTTATCATAACATTAGGAAAAAATATCTTAAAAAATTAAAGATATTGTATTTTCAATTGGTATCTACTTGACCAACGAAATTGTGCCATTTCATACCATCCAAGTATTGTAATAAATATGACAACGGTAGGCTGAAATAACCAAACTCTTTATATAGTTTTCATGTAAATGTTTCTTATATTATAGTATTTTATTCATATAACTACAAAAGTTATCTTACGTAAGGGTTTATCACACTGAATGGCCAATCTAACTCATTTTAAAAATTCTTTCTTCCTCTACTGGTATACAATTTAAAGAATTTTTAAAATGTGTTAGATTGGTACTCAGTATGACAAACTCTTACATAAGATAACCTTTGTAAATATAATAATAATATTTGATTGATAACATTTAGGAAATGTTAGAAGTAAGAAATAATCTAATAATCTTAATCTTTGCTGTTATTTTTTGCTTCAGCAATGCCAGGCTCATCTGCTAGTGATAGAATAATTCTTAAATTAATGAAATTTTTAAATTATTTGGAAAAATATTTGTTAACAGGGTTTAAATTGCAACTGTTATATTTTGATTAAATTTGTTGTTGTTTGTATTATTCTGAGATTGTCATTTGTGAATTAAGTATTTTGATCCATTTTTTAATTGTTTTATATATTTAAAAAAATGAACACATTAAAAATAAAATTATATGAAGGTTCTAAACCTTGAAAAGAAGGAAATCTTTTTAAAATGAAGTATGGCAGTATTTTGTAAAATATTTATCTATTTTATTTATATATATTGACTTATTAATTATTTTATTAAAAAATTGAATCCATATTTATTAATAATTAATTACAGAATTAATTCAGTTTTTCTTTATTGATAGATACAGATATCATTAAAGTTTGGTTTCGTGATTTAATCAAGAAATATGCTTATAAGTAAGTACGATATATTTCAAATTTATTCACTGTATTTTAAAATGACTTTTATGGAATAATTAGAATAAATTAATTGTTTCATCATAAATTAATATTGTTTTTATAATTTTGGGATTTACAGGTATTTCAAAGGAATGAGTTGATTTGAGTTTGGCTTATTTGAAAATATTTTTACTTTGACAATATTGAAAAATATTGCTGGATTATATATCACAGATTAAAATATTTTAATCAAAATAACTAACATTAAATCATACAGTGTAATTTATTGTATGTGTGTATCTATAATGTCTGAAATAATTAAGATCGATTTCTTATATATTTTGATCATATAATAGCAAATGATAAGTACTTTATTATAACATATAACAATTTACTTATTCTAGTTTAAAAATTCCATGGTAAAAAGTAAAAAAAAAATTTTTATTTTAGAAATTATTTGTTTTTTATGTTCTAATTAATTTTAACATTTGCTAATTATTTAGTATGTTATAATGTTATAGCTTACTGCCAAAATAAACACTTTCATATTGTTTTCTTAGAAATGTCTGATTATAGAAAAATCAAACTTTGTCTTAAATGTACATGGCTAAAAAAAAATACATTAGTTGTTGGATTTCTTTAATATATTTTGTTTAAAATTAAAGAAAAAAAGAGTTGGTTATATTAATATTGTGAAGTACATATTTAATGCATTTATGTTTAGCTATAATGAAAAATAGTTGCATTTAGAGATCTAGAACAGTGGTCACCAACCAGTGGACCACTGATGGCTTGCAAGAAAATTATGGTGGTCTGTAGAGAAATTTGGACATTGATCAATTTGAGGTTATGCAAAGTATTATGAGAGTAAACAAGAAATGCAAAATGCTTTGGTTGCTTTTTCTCGCTCATTGGGGGTTTTTTATTCAAATCTAAAATCAAACATGAAATGACTGTTGAGTGCAAATACAATAGACCCCCCCATAACATGATAGATATGTTCTGTTTTATATGAATTCCGTGTTTTACGAGTCACTTAAATACATGAGTCACTCACAGCCAGGCACGTATGCAGTTTAGGGACTACGACTTATTTATTAATTATAAAATTTTATGAAACATATAATTTTGTGTTTTAAGAAAAATTTGAGCTTTGTTTTTTATAGTAGAGCTTAGTGATTGTTTAACACCTCTGTTATTAAATACTCCCAAATCATTTTATAAATCAGTAATCTATTAATTAATAAATCTGCCATTGGCAATGACACATGAAATCATTGAACTTTCTTAACTATTTAATACAAATTTTCTGTGACAAATTCTATTGTTTGTTGTATTCTGACATTCAGAATCTAATGAAAGCTATATTTTAAATTTTATTTCTAAACTTGTTAATTATTATAAAATTTTTATATTTTGAAAATTTAGCTAATGTATAGTATAAAGACAAATTAAAACTTTTATAAAACAAAATATTAGTAATATTTGGAAAGATGTTGCTAAATCAAATGTTAGATAATTCCTTTTCAATTTTCTCAAAAAAATTTTCAAATTAGAAACTTGAAATATACCAAATAGATTGAGACAAGTGTTATATGAAATTAGATCTAGCATCATCATATATTATTACAATCAAAACTTTTTGAAATTTAATTGAGAGTTTTTTTTTTCTCTTTAGATTCTTCTATACAAATGAAGGACAATTGATATCCATAGGAAATTTTTGGAATGGTAATTAGTATTTTTTATACATAAGATTTGCAAAATAAAAGCTATTTCTGAAATGCTATGATAAACCTATAATTGTTCATATTAATAAGTTATTGGTAAAAGTAGATGGTTAAATTATTATACAGGGTAAGCCAAAAAGATTATTTCTATTTTGAAAAAACACTACATGTTTCATTGAAGACATCTCAATGAACATGTAACAGTGCATGTAGAAACTCAAAGTTTTTTGATCCCTACAGATGCTCAATATGCACACCTTGAGTGACATAGCATTTGTCTATGCAACAATCTAGTTCCTGCCAAACACAATTCAGTGTGTCTGCTTGGATTCCATCATATTGGAATATGAAATTGGGTGGTCTTGTAGCTGTGGCATCAACCATTTTGTCATCATCCAGATAAAATGTGACAGTGATTTCTGCAAAAATGAATGGCTTGTACATCTTTTCATGCTAAACAATTTAGAACTCATTAATCTAGGGGTAATTATGCATATGTTCTGCATACATGAGTTTTCAGTTCTCCAAACTTAAATGTTACAGCAGTACACTTTACTGTTTACATGAAAGATGGCTTTACAACTGACACCAACCTGTTTACAAAAGCATCTGCAGCAAGTCCTGGAATTGAGTGCAGAAGTCAAGCTGGATGTTCTGATCAACTGGTGTTATGGAAAAATAAAGCTGCATTTGGTATGATTTTTACACTGTGACCACTTTCTTATAATCCTCTATATAGTTTTCTGTGGAATACCAAGTTCATAACTATAGAAGTAGGTAGATTTTTTTTTTGGCCTGCATTGGAAGGTCTGTTGCATGTGCTCCATGTTTTCTTCCAATATGGATGGTTTCCAGTCAATTTCTTCATACACAAGCAACCAGATTCTTGAAACTGTGTAAACCATGCATGAGTTGTCTTGCTTGTTGGTAGCTGTTTCACATAAGTGATGTGAAAACTATGCTGAAAGGTAATAACTAGAGTCAGGATTTTTGGGTGCTGCACCCACTTGGTTTTTGAAAGGGGCAAAGTGTAAAAAAGACAAACTACATCAGTTTTAGTGCAGTAGACCCACTCATTGTCAAATTGTTTAGCACCCAAAACACAGACCTGTCCCCAAAACAGTGACTAGCACCCAGCTTTTCCCTTTTTACGTTTTCAAAGAATATGCTAACGATTATCTTTTTTTAATTAATTCACTTGAGGGGGAAAAATAAATTCGTTAAACCATACCATGTATGCTGAGGAAAAAAATATGATAAGTAGCTGACTCTCTTCTTTTGTTGAGAGCAAACAACTAAACTTTAAGGTTGTTCTAAGAATGTAAACAGATTTACTGAAAATCTGCAACATAATCTGATAATCATAATTTTATATTACATAAATTTTTAACATGTCAAATAAAATTGGGAGTATGATATTTACATATATGTAGCAAAAGCAAATTTGACCTTGCTAAATTTGTTTTTTTACAAAAAGCTTCAAGTTGTATTTAGTGCCTTAAAGTCATTGTACCTGCAATAATTTGGCTGAATGTTAGACAATCTTCAAGCAATATTAGTGAAGGAACAAAGTACAGTTTGAAGGCTTTTTTTTGTGATGATGCTTGTTTTCCTAATTTATAATCAGTGTGACATTGCTTCATTTAAAATTTCCTGTAGTTGTAATCTGTGTAACATGCACTTTATTCACATGTTGAGTCTTACTGACAAATCTGCTTCCAGTTTTCTTAAGTTTCTTTTATTTAGATGCTTTCACTTAGTTTTACTTTTCAAACTGGTTCTATCAGTTTTTTTTATAGGATTTCAAGTATTTTTCAGTCATCAATAACTTTAGCTTTATAATAGAAAAATTTTTATGATATTATATTCACTTAACAGTCATATGATAGCCTGCAGTGCATCATGTCACATAAACTAGTTGACTAATAATATGACAAAATTTTAAAACATTCAACAATGAGTTGCCTAAGTTTCCTGACTATTAAAAAATAACTTTTCAAATAAATAAAATTTATAGTGTCATCTGTTGAGATTTTGTTGTAAAAACTTTTTATGAGTTTTGAAAAAATTGTAAATGCTATTGAGTGAAATCTTCTTAAGTCCAAACCCTCTCATGAAATAACACAACACCCTTTTATCACCTTACTCCCTCAACCTTTACCATCAAAATTTAATAGCATCAATTTCTCTTAAACACAAGCTACCATGCCAAATTTTATTTTTTCATTATTATCCCATCCTGAGATATTAAGTGAATTAGACACCAACATGTGCATGCAAAATTTTTTCAAGTTTTTTACTTTTTTGGGTTTGGGAGGGTTTCGATCGTGATTTGAAAAGAAAACTGAGGGTAAAATTCGGCACAATTCCAATACTTTTCTTGTTATATATATGTAACAGTTAGAAAAGTAAAATGGGACATTATTTTATAAATATTCTTCTATTTTTAAATTATTAGACTTGTATTAATTAATAAATTAAAAGTAATTGCAAAACATAGTCATGATATCACATGACATGATAGTGCAGGCTAGCTGTTTGACCAATAATATATTAAAATTTAAAAAATGATTATTATTTTTATAAATACTCAATATTTTAAAATAAAACTTTCAAAAGGACACCTAGGAGGCAGTCAGCTCTCAAAAGAGCTATTAAACATATGCAAGATTGTTTGTTAGCTTGATATCACTATTCTCTCTTGTTGTAAATCTAGGTGATAAAATGCTGATTGCATAAGTCCAAAGCAAGCCAATGAATTTATTCAAAATTTAAGATGTCCATAGTGCTCAAAATGGACAATAAATATTTTAAATTTCATCTAGCCCACCAATGGTAAAGTGGATGAAATCACTGAACACTAGTAGTTAGTTGTGGGTTCACACCTTGCCATTGGGCTGGTCATGTGGAGTTTTCCTCAATAACACCTACATAGGGGCCAGTTTTCCTTAAAAGACCTCCTGGGAGGCATTCTCCATTGGCAGATTGTCCATGTGTCACGTTGCTTTAATTGAATAAAAAGAAAACAATAAATTTTATCCAAATCAGTTCATTGATTTTGGCGATTAATAAGGTCAAAGTTAGCACTTTAGCATTACACATGTGGCTGAGCTCTACTATAGTGCACTACTGCACTCTGTGACAGTTAAAAACAGTTGTATAAAATTATTAATACAGTAGAGCCTCAAACTCGGCACTCGATAACCCGGCACTCCGGATAACTCGGCCACACCTTGGCAGGGCAAAAAAAATCCTTAGTTAATTAATTTTCATTATAGACAGCTTTATGCCTCAAAGTATTTTTCTGAGATCTGTCTTATCAGGTAAATTACTGTACACAGTGTATTCATTAATTTTCATTTTCATGTAGTAAAGGCTCTATGCCTTCATAAAGGACGTACTTTTCCTTTGTTTAAGGGTATTTGGGCAGTTTATTCTCTGTTGTATTCTCAAGTAAACAAT